TTCACTAACTATTATTTCAGAAATACGGTGCCATTGTATATGTCAAGACCGATGTGAACTATAAATTAAAATAAATAGTTCGTTAATAGTTGACTATAAAATTACATACCATCTATAAACGAAAATGAGTTTTAATAATCCGAAATTCCTTATATAGAGAAAGGTATAACACTACCCTTATCCGATAAGTCTGGAATATAGGCAATCCTTTGATAGCAAGTGATTTTATATTCCAGTTCAACCAATTTTCGAAAATGGTCTTATTTTAGTTTTTTGTTATCTTCAAATAATCCAATGGTCTAAATATACTTTATTTAAACTATAACTTCATGGACACTTCATCTACTCGAAAAGAACTACCAGTATTCAAAGTGACCATTCGTTAAGAGAAGATCGTAATTAAATTGCGTAAGGATTTGTAGATTAACACCTTATTAGATAAAATGAGGCCCGTGTGGAACCCTTGTCAAATGATATTATAGCGTTCAAGTAAATTACACAATGGACTCATTACTTGGAGCAAAGTCTTTGAAATAAAAAAGTATTAAATTAACATTTAATGATGATATAATTCATTGTGAATATATAAAAAAAACTTCATTTATTTTTATTTTTTTGTAAGATTTAGTAATCTATGGGCCTCGGATTATAAGAAATTTCTCCGTTACAATTGAACAATTGATGCCGGATATTATGTATTATGGCCATTTATCTCCCGCTGTGCTTTTTAATTTGATTATTTTTCTAAAATACTACAATATTTCTAATTTAATATAATTAGAAAAAACAAAATAAACGTTTACCCTCAAAGTACGGAAATGAGTACATATGATAAGTTAACCCCTAAAGACCTGTCCGGGCTTCAATAACCATTCAATATTTACCGAAGTAATCAAATAATCTTGCCTATCTTTTATAATTGTAAAAACTTAAAGAATGTATGGTGAAAAATTACGGGCGTATACGCCCTTCCTCGCGGCAATTATCTTATGTCTTTGATAAATGAAATGGTAAGCAATTCGGGTTATCTGGCTTTCTCAGTGAATTTATTTACCTTCCGATTAATAGTTCTGATTATCTTGTGAATATTTGAAAAGTTTCATTTTTAAAAGAGACGCATAAACGTTTTTGAAGCCTATCCCCTGGAAGTTGGCTCATTTTCAAGCCCTCAAATGCCCGTTATTGCAAAGTGCACATACGCAGAACTAATGTGTTTTTGAATATTTGATTATTTTTTGGAAATGAAAGTTCGTGTACATAGTTGAAAATTGAAACGGAATAGTTTGACGATAATTCAGTGCACATTATTCTGTATGTTATGTATAACGCGTCGGCGTCGATTCATTCATTCATTCATTCATTCATTCATTCATTCATTCTTAGCTAGCTAATATATACATTAAATAATAAATTGATTTGATTGATTGATTTATTTATTTATTGTATTAATTTAATTCATTCATATATGTGTGTATGTTTAATCGAAAAGTTCATTGCCTGACGAATGCCAATCACATTAGAATAAAATATTTATTTGATAGCATTTATACTTGTAGGTAGATAACAAAATCAGTGTGCATAATAATCAGAAATGTATTGGCGGGACGAGAACTCTGCAAGTGTTAATCGAATATTTTTGTTCGAATTGTTTCCCATCCCTTGCATAAATTCTTACCCCGTTTTTTTTTTGACAAAATTGAATATAAGCTGTCAATGTGTCAAACGTGTGCAAAATATTGTGATTTGCAACTATTACAATTATTTTATTTAGTTACTTTATCTAAAGCCAATACAGAGCTTATGTAAGGACTTCTTATAATACTGCACGTTTGTTACGTCGCTTTTCATTTGATAATTGTGACGTTTATATAGTTTTATATACACGGCTGCTTAAATCTCTCTTTTTTCTCCAAAAATTCTCTTAAAAATTCGTGATAAATATTCCTGACAGGTTATATGACCGTAACAAACGGTTGTTTGCAATATAACCCTCGCCTAGCGGCTCGGGTTATATTTTCAAACAGCCGTTTATATAGGGTCATGTAACGTGTCAAAAATATGTATAACTAATAATATGATGATTCATTCTGGGGCATGTTACCTCGACGAATACAGATCGAAAGTCAAGGGCTTTTAAGATATGATACAAAAGGTCGTTGATTATGGTAGATTTACAAAAATAAACAGAGAATAATATGATCAAACAGTTAAATATTAAGACATAAATGAAAGCAATATTCTATTTATATGTTTATCCCTTTATAGTTTTACCAAGTAATACCCCCGTTATACCAAGCAAGTTCAGAGTACGAAACACGTTAACTGTACGTAAACAGAGAGGTAGAAAAAGAATTACATGGACAAACGCCGATGTGTTTGATATTAAGAATGTTTATGAAGAATTTAAGCCAACTTAAAATTTCGGATGGCAATCCCGTTCTCCAATTATGCGGACAATCAACGTTCTTAAAACGAGACGTACGTATTTCAAACACAATTGCCGTACGTCGATCTTACTTGGGACACGCAATAACGTTATGATGTTGCACGACCATACGCAACATACATACATACATACATCTTTCAAGAAAATAAAAGTTTACACCGATCTGTCCGTTTGTAACTCGTTTATATTTTTCACAGGCACACCTGACTCGATCGAATTACATTCATAACATGTCGTTATTCCGACGAAAAACAACACCGTTTTCTCCCTGGTCCGCACTAGCAAAGGACAATGAATATCAGAATATAAAAAATAGTGGGTGAGGACAAGATTGTCTTGCTGTTCTCTTTCGTAGAAGCGTGATGATTATTAATGTTTTGGGTGTTATGTAAACTGTTTGAACGGTTGCAGTAGAATAAAGACACGAGCTGATATTTTATGACCGGCAAGTCAAGACGTGATTGCGATGACGATCTGAACGCACTAGGGACGTGATGAGGACGTGGTCAGAACGAGGTGGTCATGTTACGAAGTCGTTCATGAGGTCTAAGGATCGGAGTAGAACTAGTAGCACAATGGATATAAACTTAACTGCAGACGCCATTCAAACTGAATAAATACGATGCTACCGGACAATTTAACCAGACCTAAATGGGCTTCAGGCGAAATAAAGACGGCATTGACGTATCACCAACGGTTTATGAACTATTGGGGATCGCATTGTTGATATTTATATAGACCGTTCAAGAATATTTCCAGGAACTGGTTAGACGTGTTAAGAACTAGCTTGGTGTGAAAGTAGGGTGACACTGATTAAGCTAGGCGTGACATCGGACCTATTTCAGATCACGCACTTCCTAGATTAGTAGAAGCTGGTAACATTTTTGTCACTTTCAATGCCTGATAATGAACTGATGAATGAGTGAGCATGTAAATCCTCTATGATTTTGTTGGAATTGTCCTAACTACCGTTGGATGATTATCCTTAAAGTAATGGAACAAGCATATGCACTGTACTTATTTAGCTTAAAAGAGAGCAATAATTTTCCCTAAAATCTAAAATTATCACTAAGGCAAAATTCCATCAAGAGTGATAAAAAGATTTTCATATTCATTTATTTTTCAAAATGTCTGTGAGAGAAATCGTTTTCCGTTCATGCCAGTTTTTCTTTCCCTATGGTAAGTGCAAATACAGTTATACCTACGTATTTCGGACAGACTCAGCCGAAAGGCGTTCCTTTTGATGAATCTATGGTCTCTTTTTACGAACTCGTGTAACTAATCCAGAATGAACAACAGTTTTATTTAGTTCAACTTATTCCAATCTTTTAGAACATACAAATAATAGAAAACTAGTAATCCGTTTTTATCCACACGTTATATGCAAACGTTTCTATAAATAAGTACTCAAAATAGTACACATTTATACATTATTGACGATAATGGAAAATCAGGGGCGTGTCATCAAATCAGGAAAGATGCACGAAGTTTTCGTGCTAATCTTAGTGTACTATGAACCATGTTAATCAATACCACTAAATTTATGATAACGGTTATATATTTTTTAAAGTATGATAAGTTCATCTTTAATGGTAACCCTCCAATCACTGCACCTGTCTTGCGAGTCCATACAAGTCAATGTGTACGCTGTTGTGCGATTGAAAACGCGCGTTACTTCTTAGGAGCCTGTATGTTTTAACACGAACCATTTTCTTGCGACTATCTATCACGGCTGCTAGTCTTGAAGACGGAGCACTGCTTGCCAGCAATGATATTGTTTTGAGGGGCATCAGGAAATGGGTCACACAAAAAACCCAAACAAATCCCCAACTTTTTTATTATTTTCTATCTATTCATTTTGTTTAACTTTATTTTATTTTGTTTTATTTTTTATAATTTATTTATTTATTTATTTATTTATTTATTTATTTATTTATTTATTTATTTATTTATTTATTTATTTTTTATTTATTTATTTATTTATTTATTTATTTATTTATTTATTTATCTATTTATTTATTTTATTTATTTATCTATTTATTTATTTATTTATTACTTCATTTATCTATCTATCTTTTTATTTACTTGTTTATTTTTGTTTATTTTTGTTAATTTATTGTTGTTTTTTAATTTATTAAATTTAATTAATTAATTTATATATTAATTATTTTCATTTATTTATTGATGGTGGGAGAGAGGTTGTTATTAAGTTATTGTAGACGGGCCCCGGGGGTATAAGTTAAATAAGAAATAGACTGCCTCTTTTCGCCCCCTTTTCTATGGCTAATTGGCCGTAAAGAACAGCATACAATTGGTTTTCAAAAGTTGCAATAATAACAATCATGTGTGTTTAGTTTTATTTTATTACAAGCTCACATATAAATACAAATTCAAAAGTTACTTATTGCCTGGTAGACTAACTAAATCTTTTGTACAACTGTTTGTCAAAAGTTTGGTTTAATATTGTATTACATTACAATATATGAACGTTAACCCCCTTTTTGATACTATCATATCTCACACAGTATTTATCAGTTGTAAACGTTTACAGTTCGTCTTCATAAGCTTAATCTTATGTGTTGGATACATACTCACATTTAAATATGTGTAAGTATTGTCTATTTTAAATCTTTAATTCGTCAACTTATCTGAAAAGATTAAGTAATATATGAATAATTGTCATAACTGTTGAATTCCTCAAGGTTTTTTTTCTTTTATTTGATTAATTAAACGATGCAAAGTGTTATCAAGGAAAATATTAATAACAGCACCATAGTGCAGTAACGGGTTAACACCTGTTGATTTATAATAGGACTTAACCCGTTACTGCACTGAGGTGAAGATACGATATTAATCATGTTTGAGTTTCGTTGTGTTTAAAGCACTGAAGCTTTTGCACATATTCGTGCTGTGTGACGGAGGAAAATACTCTATAACAATTACGAACAAATTAAACCATGCTAATTTTATTATCCAAATTCGATTATTAAAACTCTGTGAGTGCATTTAACATTAACTTTAAATTTACTATTTGAGCCGCGTCACGACAAAACCAACAGTGGGTTTGCGACCAGCATGGATCCAGACCAGCATGCGCCTCCGCGCAGTCTGATCAGGATCCATGCTGTTCGCTATCAATTTCTCTACTTGCAATAGAGTTGGTAAGCGAACAGCATGGATCCTGATCAGACTTCATGGATGCGCAGGCTGGTCTGGATGCATGCTGGTCGCAAACCCATTATGTTTGTTTTGTCATGGCGCGGCTCATTTTATGTCTGAATAACATCAAGTCATCACGTTTACGCCAGGTAGCGTAACTGAGATTATAAAACGAAAATAGCTATAGATGGTTTTAATGACTCTTCAACCATATTCAGTTCGATATAGATAAAATACAGTAATGTCTTTCATTAAGTCCACCATTGACCATCTGGTCTTATTATTTTGCCAGTCTTAAGTTTGAGACTAATTCAGATAACATAAAAATATTTTTTCTTTGATATACATGTATTTTTTCATTGATAGTCTAATAAATTTATTGAGATAAGGACAGTTAAAGGACATAGAAAACGACCCGGAACTAATAAAATATACTCTACAATCGCTTTTTAAAAGTCTTTGATTTTAAGGAAGGTGTTTTATTTATTATTTTCATGTTAAGCTGCCGAGTATAAGTATGACATTGACAACTTTGAAGTATCAAATGATATGAAGAAAAACTTTGACAAAGATGGATATACCTTAATTCGGTAAGTGGAAGTTTGAACATTTTATATGTTAATTTTCAGGCGGCCTGCTGGTGGTCACTACACATACGACGAGTGCAGACCAAAATCAGCCGGCACATCCTGCGATCATGGTTTGCACTGTTTGATACTTGATCAGTATTTACTATGAATTTTCCAGTTTAAAAAGATTAAGGGTCCTGTCATGATTTTAAGATGAACAAGTCCATTTTAGATATTTAATGTGACAGTGATAAATATCATTAAAGTATCTTAAAAAGATAGAGATCATTTGCCCGTTTTTGTTGTTGTTTTTTGTTGTTGTTTTTTTCCGTGTTAAAACGACTATGAACATACTTTACCACTGTATGTTTTGTTTGTTTGTTTGATTGATTGGGTTTTACGTCACACCGACACAGTGTAGGTCATTTGGCGACGTTCCAGCTTTACTGGTGGAGGAAGATGCCATTCCGTGCATTATACACTTTGTACCACTGCATGTAACAACTGGCGTTTAATAGAAAACAATTCTAAACAAGACTAAGAATAAACAGTTCAGCATGATCAAAGCTTTTAAATAGCTCATAGGCAGTATTGCAGACACCCTAAGTCTATGCATACACGTTCAAGCAATATTTTTTTCTTCTATTTCACGAACGTATTTAACGTATTGTTTCTGTGATTATTTATTTTACACCACCCGCCTAAAACACACCACCTCTGACTTGCATTAGAAAACAAAATCAAGATAAAGTTAAGCCTTGCTTTCTTTTGTAATTTGTAAATTTCTTATTACATTACAGCTCTATAGTCTTTACTTTAACAGGTTACGTAGTATCATATTGATTATCTCTTTTAATGAATATACTTTGTAAAAAGTGAAATTTCTAAAGTCTTAAAGCATTCAATTGGAAATGTACAATATTTGTAAAACATGCACATTTTCAGAAACCTGTTTAGCAAAGATGAAGTACACAAGATTGAAAAAACTATAACAGAAGGAGGAATGATGAAACATTCGTATATGGTAAATATAAGCTGAAAACGTTAACGTCAACAGCCGATATATAGCCAATATTTTTAGCTCGACTATTCGATAAGAATAAGTAGAGCTATTGCAGTCACCCGAGCGTCGGCGTCGGCGTCGGCGTCGGCGTAACCACTTATGTTAAAGTTTTTGTAATAGTTCTATTATTTTCAAAGTCCATAGACATATGGCTTTGAAACTTTGCACACTTGTTCACCATCATGACCCCAACCTGTAGACAGGAGGAGGTAACTCTATCAAGCATTTTGACAGAATTATGCCCCTTTTTCGACTTAGAATTTACGTTAAAGTTTTTGTAATAGTTCAAATATTTTCAAAGTCTATTGACATATGGCTTTGAAACTTTACACACTTGTTCACCATCATGACCCCAACCTGTAAACAGGAGGAGGTAACTCTATCAAGCATTTTGACAGAATTATGCCCCTTTTTCGACTTAGAATTTACGTTAAAGTTTTTGTAATAGTTCAAATATTTTCAAAGTCCATTGACATATGGCTTTGAAACTTTGCACACTTGTTCACCATCATGACCCCAACCTGTAAACAGGAGGAGGTAACTCTATTAAGCATTTGACAGAATTATGCCCCTTTTTCGACTTAGAATTTACGTTAAAGTTTTTGTAATAGTTCAAATATTTTCAAAGTCCATTGACATATGGCTTTGAAACTTTGCACACTTGTTCACCATCATGACCCCAATCTGTAAACAGGAGGAGGTAACTCTATCAAGCATTTTGACAGAATTATGCCCCTTTTTCGACTTAGAATTTACGTTAAAGTTTTTGTAATAGTTCAAATATTTTCAAAGTCCATTGACATATGGCTTTGAAACTTTGCACACTTGCTCACCATCATGACCCCAACCTGGAAACAGGAGGAGGTAACTCTATCAAGCATTTTGACACAATTATGCACCTTTTTCGACTTAGAATTTACGTTAAAGTTTTTGTAATAGTTCAAATATTTTCAAAGTCCATTGACATATGGCTTTGAAACTTTGCACACTTGTTCACCATCATGACCCCAACCTGTAAACAGGAGGAGGTAACTCTATCAAGCATTTTGACAGAATTATGCCCCTTTTTCGACTTAGAATTTACGTTAAAGTTTTTGTAATAGTTCAAATATTTTCAAAGTCCATTGACATATGGCTTTGAAACTTTGCACACTTGTTCACCATCATGACCCCAACCTGTAAACAGGAGGAGGTAACTCTATCAAGCATTTTTTTTACTATCAAGCACTAAGAATAGTCGAGCGTTGCTGTCATACCGACAGCTCTTGCTGTTTATATAACATTTTTTCCTATACCCGCACAGTTTATTTGTTTGATTAGTTTTTTTGCGCCGATGACTTTTTTAGTTATACAATGGCAAAAAATCTAACTTATTAGTTTTCTTGGATAACAAGCCAGTACCAATATTCCACAAGAAACCAACTACTTATCCCATGTGATTTCAGAATCAGCGGTGAGGGAGACTCAATGTCCGAGATAAGTTATCTTTTAGAAATTTCGTCTCGCCCAAGGATTAAACCCCTGACCCCTTCATGTATTACAAAACCGATGCCTCTTCCCACCCCCCCCCCCCTTTGATCTCATACACGGGATCGAGCAATGCTGTCGAATCACTACATAAGGCATTGTGTATATAGCTAGTCCGTGAAGTCACGAACTCACTTCTTTATTTGGACTAGCATTGGATTCCAAGCTGGCATATTTTCATACTAAACAGAGCAGAGACTAAATGGGTGTTAATTTGTTTATATAATATCCCTCGGAATGAAGTCATGCTACTTGTCGTAGTGATTCTGTAATCTATGGACCTGTGTTTTTGATAAATTCTTGTTGAATCTTTGATATTGTATTGAAAGAATAATTTTTAAAATGCAAGTGTCACCATAAAGAAATAGTAAAAAGAGAATAAAATTTCCAAGGTGTTAAAAATACTCTCAAGTTATTTTCAAAATGCTTCCAGAAATTGGTTTAAAGGTGGTTTGTGATAACATTAATTAGACGTGCTCATGTGGGGGATGTACCGAATTTTATTTAGCCGCTTTGGTGCTGTACATTTGTGTTTTGCCTTTTTTTTCTTGTAAAATTGGTTTTAGATACCGGACAAAGATGGCCGCTCCCCGATTATTGGTTTATGGCAGCATCCAGGAAATGACGTCACAGGAATGATGACGAGATGTGAAAAAGTCGTCACTACAGCTGAAAAGGTTTCGTTTATACATATTTCACGTGCAGAAGATCTACTTAATGTAGACCATCATTAGTGTTTAGATAACTTTCCAACTTTGCCGACTAGAAAACTAATCGCAAAATGATCATTGTCTTGAAATCTTTGAAATGTTTAAGCTTGAAATGTTGCCTCCCTTTCATGCGTTTCAAGTTAAACTTGCCATTGACTTGATAGATTTGGTCTGAATAACTACATGTTCAGAAAGTTGTTATCATTTCGTTATATGACGTATAATATATGCTTAGACAGTCATCTTTATTTTCAGTAATGTTACATGTGACATAGAATATGTTTATCGTCTGTAGGTTAAACTTTTAAGTTATTTTCAGCTCCTTGGAGTGGAGGAGTTGTACCATTACCACTGTAAATTTCTAATCAAAGAACCAAAAGTTGGCGGAAGTTTTGAATGGCACCAGGATTATGGGTAATGATTAATGAATGTAACTATGATGATTATAAAATGACATCGCAAATAGTTCTATGGAAATCATCGTACTTTTACAGTGTACTTATATTAAGTATATAGAGTCTCCTTCTCTATATATATTTGACTGGCGATAGTTGATTCGTCAAGAACACACCTTTCAAATCTTGTTGTCGTCTATAGTTTAGACTGTTTGATATACATCTTATAATACGTAGCCAATGAAATTCCAGCTTGTATCGCGTATTCTCCTAACCCCCAGTCTCCAATCTTATCAAATAAGCCTCGTTTTCATTTTTCAATTCTAAAAATTCCATATCAAAACTGTATTGTGTTCGGAAGAAGGAAAGTTCTGTAAAATGTCAAAAATGGTGGTGTGAAATAAAGTGATCAGTACAATACAGGTTATACTGAACCTGTAACAATTGCAAAACCAAGATACAACTCGGCAAGCTATATAGTGTTTCGTCCAATACAGGGCTGACCTCAGAAGAATTCAACATTTTACTGTATAATAACCTCATTAAACATTGTTAAGGTGTAATAATTTCATGTTCGATATAGGAAAGCCTTTTTATGCAGTTTATTAACTGTGTTCAAAAGTTCCTGTTGTAAGTTTACCGAAGATTGGTTTATTTATTATCGACGACAGATATTGGTACAACTACTGCCTTAGTCCTGATATGTTGGCTGTGTTCATCGCGGTAGATGAGTGTACGCAGGAAAATGGTGGTCTTGTGGTAACTTCATATATGTGTCATTTAAGGGGAGCGATAGCCTAGTGGTTAAAGTGTCTGCCTCTCAACCCAGAGATCATGGGTTCGAGCCCTAGTCGGGTCATGACTATGTTTCTTGATATGACACTAGTACTGGATGGCTCCAGGAAGTGGACTTGAAAGTGATTAAATTTAGTTGCAAGAACTAGTTTCGCAATCAAACTTAAATGAATATGTTTAAGTCATATATGTATCGGCGAGATAACGCATTCTTTTTCATTCATAACAGGTAGAATTATTATAGAAAAGTTTTATTTTAATACTTTATTTATCATTTTAATTGTGCACAAGAGCACTATATAATTGCATTTTAAAAGATCGAGTATGATATTGTTTTCATTTCAGGTTTTAAGAGGAACACATAAATGTGGAAGAGTTGACCACGGTAAAACTGGTGGGCAGCAAGGAGCTGACATTGAACGGGTTGAACTTTTAAAGAAGCAGTATGAACTTGTAAATGTAGACCTACAACCGGGTTCGTTTTATAACACCGTGTATATCCGGTAACGCAGGAATGTGAATATAACGGCTTTGAATCATATTTTATCAGCTTATTTTCAATAGAAGTTTAGTAAATGTCATTTGCTTACCAAAAATCGAAATTATACCGTATAATGAGCATTGTTGTACTAATTAGTCTTCAAAGGGCCAAATCACACTCAAAACGGTGGTCAAGCGAATGATCTTGAAAAGTAAGCGATTAATATGGAAATAATCTTGATGAGGGATAAAGTATAATGTATCTGCAGCCGTATGCGGCTCTTCATTTCTTTCAGTATGGTTAAATAGAAAATATATATTGACCAATTTACAGACCGCGTCGGAAATCTTGCCAGGTAGCACAATTCTGTGTTACTTTATGCACGAATTGTGCGTTATATTCACATTCCTGCGTTACTGGATATGCACGGTGTATAAGCTTACGAAACATCATAAACATATACAAAAGACCGACCTCGCTTCGAGATAAGTATTTTAGGCGAATCACACTGTTCTTGAAATTTATTGTGTATTTTTAATCATTTCTAATGATTAATTAAATTTACCTTTCAATGAATGAAAAAAGTTTGCAATGGTTGTAATGGTGCAACTGAAAGTCAAAACAAGCAAACAACTCGCGAAACACTCTAGATAATACAAATTTAGTTTGAGTGGTTTCCCGTAGAGGCGACTTTTATTCCGCCGCGAACACTCAAGATTTTGTTTGTAATCGAAAATTGACTTATCAAACAAAATGTGCTATATATTTAATAAACTGCCTTTTTAATCGTTAGAACCTCCTTTTCATTGGAATTACCGAAATTGGCTAATAAGTCGTCACATTTTTGTGTTGATCTAGTTTATATGTTTATTATTTTATCATTATGTGTCGTAGTAATATTGTTTTCTTGATAAATATACATGTATTACTCGTCCAGAAATTATTTTTTATAACGTCCATTCAATATGAACCATATATTCAGGTGATGTTTTGTTCTTTCACTGCAACTTGCTTCACTGTAGTGGACCAAACAACAGTGAGAAAAGACGGCTAGCTATAAACGTATCATATAACGAGAAAAGTAACAGTCCTGTGAAACCTGACATCTGTCCAGAATACACCAAGTTGGAGAAGGTAAACACTCTTACATGGCCAATTTGGAATGAAATCTAAAAAGCTAAACAATTTCTTTAATGGTTTAGGGATGCTGTACTTGTTCATTAACCCTCATGTGCAGACTCAATCAAACAGAAACTGCAATGTTCGTGTAATTTTGTTGTGATTTTTTAAGTGTTGCTATGGATCACATTATATCCAGATTTCTTTACATATGTACATATGTACAAATTCAATTTAATTGTTTTTTATTAGATTATATATACAATTTACACGTTTCACATAGTTGAGTCTTACATGTTACAAATAGGAATACCCGTTTATTATTAACTGCTTTCTTATTACAATGACAATATTTTAGTATCAAATTTGACATTTTTGCAATATTATTATTTAGGATTGGCTCAAGTTGGCTAGGTTACAGAATAATTATAATTATATCTAATTTTGTACAATAAGAGTAAAAAACTTATATTTTCTTAGTGTCCATCGTTGTTTTCTATATAAGTCATATTTCAAAAAGTGTTCACAACTCTTTCTAGTTTACTTGAAGTTTTGATTTTCTCTCGGAAAAATACTTCTACACACAAATGATAGACATATTCAAATTATAGAATTAACTGTACATTAATAACATTAATTATTGCAGGTATCGGACACAGCTATTTTGGAGTGTCAAAATTATACAGATTTCTCGGGGAAAAACTTCATAAAGCGAGGCGATGATAAACTTGTCGACTTCGCTGACCAGACCTCAAGTTATGAGAAGAGCGGATAGATGTAACATTGACCGCAGCTTGTCTGAACTAATGTCAACGTTTTAAGTTGAAACTATCAAACTAGGAACTGCTATTGTATATTATTAATGTTCTGGTGAAAATACAATAATATTGATGTATATACACATGTGACATTTACGTTGTCTTTGATTATTGCTTCATAATATTTTATAAACTGTAATAAGAACACACGCAGAAAAAAGAGATAAAAAATGGGTTGCGTTTTTTGCGAATTATTTATCAGTTTGAATGAAATAGATACTGCCAATTTAATTTTGCGTAAGTATTTTTCCATGTCGATTTCAATTGGCTGTTTTTTTTGCCTTTACAAAACGCAGTTTATCAGTAACTGTTGATAAATAACCTCTGTACAAATGTATAAGATTATTCAGAACGATAAAGTGGTTCTCGCAATCAACCATCTTCAATATTTGAAGGTCTAAATCTTTTAAAAAAAATACTGGGAGCTGATGAAACACTGATGTACTTGTTATTTTGTATTGATTTCTTTGAGAACTGTTCTATGATTGCATACAGAAAAGTTAAGTTCTTCCGGTTAATTGTTTTCTACTGTCCTGCAGTGTAAAAGAAGGGAAAAATGGAAGTAATTGAAAATGTTGCGAACTTGGTGTGAATTAGCCTGTTTATGGACGGTAGTAGTGAGTGCATTGATACAATGTAACAGTTCTAAAATTGGTGTATTTATATCAAGACATGTGTGCATATCATAAATAAAAACACAGTTGAAACATATTTCACTTCACTTCATCAAATAGTCTTTAATATTTTCATTGGTTCAACGTTACATGATGCCGCTATTGAGTTCTGAAAATAGAAATATTAAATATTTTACAAATAGCAGATTATATTAATTTTTATAGCAAATTGTATCCTAATCAAGGCAAAACAACTATGATATGTCCGTAAGAATTCGGCATATTTCGTTACTTTACGTGTTTGTTAAACCTTTTTTATTATAAATTAATCATATTAAGACATATTCTCATCTACCCTTGCACCGGTTTTCAAAATAATATTTAAACCTGTTAACTACGAAGTTAGCCGAAATCGTGTACGGATTACATCATTTATGAATTGCCTCGGCATTGACAGTATAGTTTAAAGTTTCAAATTTAGTGACATGCTCGTCAAAGTGTAATGGCGTGTACTCCGAAAAAACTTTACATGTTGCCATAATTGTGTTCAATAACTTCAATTATAAAAATAGTTTTGCAAAAATGTGTACAAATCCACATGACCCTTGGGAATTTCTATTAATAGCGTTCAGAAAGTTTCGACAGCGTTCAATTTTCAAAATAGAATTAGGGAGTTTTTTTTATAACATCGGTACTTTTTATGTTCTTAAACGTTTTTTCATTATAATATAACTTACAGCCTGTTTCATTTGTTCAGGGTGATACAATATACCGCCTTGTTTGTCACATTTCTCCATGTGTTTTCTTTCTGGATCTCCTGCCACCAATACCTCATTCTCTCCTTCAACCTGCACAGAAAGTAGCTCTTCAGTTTTGTGTTTATAATATACTATACTCATTTGCAAAATAAAGTGCGCACCTGGTTACAAGTAAATTTTGTTTACCTATTTAAGCATAACATTGATATATTTAGTATCACAATTAAAGCACATCATTCAAACCCAATTCCTTAGGTATTACGTTACGTCAGTTCCATGCAGACTCGGACAATTGATCCAATGAAAAGATGGACACAAATGATAGTGATTAAGTGGAAGGTAATTTGACAAAAAAACGTTAACAAATTTCAATATAAAACATATCATTTTGTTGTCAATTTCATATCAGCCAATTTTTATACCAAATTTGCCAATGTTCTGCTCAAGTAACAATTTCCAAGTCACCAAGTACAAACATTTATACATGTGGATATCTAATATAAATATTATGTTCATTTCATTAAATATTCATTGATATACAGACACCAATTAATTGATGTTTTTTAATTATTTAGTAATTTGAAAAAATACACTTACTGGCTCTAAGTCTCTGCAGTAGTTCAGAAGTTCGCTCATTCGTTCCGAGAAACCATCTTCAAATGCGTCTGGATTAATTGCTATAAAACATTGTCCCTGTATATGAAGAAAATGTGTATTCATTATAATAAAAGAAAACAGTAATGATTTACAGTACTTGAAAATATCATTCGATAAATTTTACAAAATCAGCTAGGATTGTAAATGGTTTAGTTTTAGTCATCAAAGAAAATAGTTTTTGTCATCAAAGAAAAGTCATTAAAGTCGGGTACGAGTAAAATAAAATGGGTCACCGTACAAAACATGTTGCCATCCAATCAAGTTCTAGGAAACAAATGTATTTTCTTAGCTGTAAAAATTTGACAACATTTTTAAAATGCAGTTTGTTCATTCATTTTCTTATTCAATCTTGTTATATTGATATGTGTTCACCGAAATAATTGATTTGACACAAGTAAGTTGAATTTTCATTGAACGAATTAATGACAATATTTATTATGCGCGCCTCCAACGAGCTTTTAAAATCTCATTAGTGTTTGAAATTATTTTTTGTCCAATAGGATCGCAGTATTTCAAATGAATCGTAACACATTTACTTTGGTAAGTCGGGAGTTAATCTGTCTAGTTAATCGACTGTTTTAAAAAATAATTTAAAACACTAAGCAGGTTAAAATTTATTGAATCTGTTTACAACTATTTTTTATTTTTAAACAGTCAATTAACGTGGAAACAAATGAACAGTTATATATTACACATCTGATAATTATTAAAGAATAACGTAATGGTTAATAGTATTGCTTTAAAAACAATGTAAGTCATGTCATTAAAGATTTAGATAAACTCACCAAGTTTGCTTCTTTATTTATCTGATCACTAACTGATATTATATGATGACCGTAGTTTGAGCCACTTAATATTCCACAGAATATCTCCACCATCATAGCCAGTCCATACCCTTTATAACCGGCTGTGAATATATGAGCTGCGTCACGACAAAACCAACGTAATGCGTTTGCGACCAGCATGGATCCAGACCAGCCTGCGCATCCGCTCAATCTGATCAGGATCCATGATGTTCGCTTACCAACCCTATAACAAGTAGAGAAACTAATAGCGAACAGCATTGATCCTGATCAGACTGCACGCATGCGCAGGCTGGTCTGGATCCATGCTGGTCGCAAACCAACTATGTTGGTTTTGTCGTGACGCGGCTCATAATTTGAATAATTCATTTATATGACATTATGCACTTGTACGCGATTTTTACCATATAACTCAGTTAATTAAAATGTCTTAGCTGTGTAATTTTACAGAAATATGTATATTTGACATTTTAACATATAATTATTAAGCTAAATATCCATCCTCGATGCTTATTCCGCCAAAATATGTAAAATGCATTTATCTTCAGAAGCTGATATTTACCAAAGGAAAACACAGCATTTCATGGCGAATTATATATAACATTCATACTAATTATAACAACTATATACAGTAACACCAAAATATCGTTTATGTTCATTTAAATATGGCACATTTTGGTGTTTCATTATAAAAAGAAATCTACAATGCGACACTATTACTATAAATCATTACAAATACATAATTGATAATGTAATATTAATATTTAAAAAGACCTTAATGATTTTATAATGTCCGAAATCATTCCACGTCCTATTGTCTTATGAAGAAGCAAAGTATAGAACAGTGGCATACGTCTTTTAATATCGATTAAACAACATAATATACATAGCGACTTAAGCTTACACGTGCTTTCCACTCCTCCTAAAGGAAGCATCCCGTACACAAAGTTAGGATCAGTTATATTTTGTCCATCTTTGTCCACAGCCCAGCCTTCCGGTATAGGCACACCTATACGCTTTGCATTTATCGCCTGTAAAAAGGGTAGAGAATGATTATTACAAGAATAATTGACCAAGGATAACTTATCTGTTTCCAATCATTATTTTTTACGTACATCGGTATACAATGGTTTATAGTAGAAAAGACAAAGTTGTTTTTGTTTGTTTTATTTGATTTTAAGTCACATCAACACTAATAATGTGTCATTAGGTGACTTTCAATCTTGACTTTAGAAATAAAGGCCTCAGATGCCTATTCATGCATTATGTCAGACACGAGTGGACACCCGAGGAGAACCACATACTTTCCGGAAGCTAGCTAGATAGCTTTCTCGTATGAAATAATCCAAAGTCCCTTACATAATTCGAACTCAAAGCAGTGAGGAGCAGATGATTTAAAGTTGACTACGTTTACCACTCGCCGAATCGTCATAATTATGCTTTTCTGATCATTCATCATATCTATTATACTCATCCGAACCTAAGACCGACACATGAATGAAAAATGATAATTGTACTATAAAGAGCAAAGATAAAAGATCTAAAACTATTTCTTGAAAGTTTGGCTTTACTTTCCCATAAGCCACTGCGCTAGTAGCCATATCTAAAAGAAAGCTGTCACCATCTGTCCCCGGGGCTGCGACACATATTGGATTGGTACCAAGAACATTTTCCTTCCCTCTTGTTGGTGCCATTCCTGGTGACGTATTCGTTAAAGCTATACCCTGTAAATAAAGTAAGATCTTTTAGATTCATTTTAACATTACAATACCAATCAATATTACAATAAGCAAATTTTATTCTTAGTTATAAACGTGTTAGCAATTAAAAAAGCACCATAGCCTTATTTGTTTCAATTCCACACTTGCTAAGTATTTCTGATGCCGTTTCTTCAAGTACGCTTTTTCAAATGATAGTTTTTGCGGAAATTGATATTTACAGATACTTCCGATTATGATTTTGTAGATAACTTTGACGCTAGAACAACAACAATATGTGTGTAGATTAGTTTTCATGCTATATGTATATGAAAATAGGTAGGGATAGGTTATAATATATTTGTATCATAGTTTGGAGACCTTTCTGTTGAAAATGTGTCAGGGTTAAATCGTATACATATACATGCACAGTGCGTTAACTGGAGTGCGGGTATTAGTTACCTGCACTCCAGAGCATGCCCATTGATTGGCTCATTTTTGCTGGGGTTTACATATTGTGACGGCAGAGAAAGGGAAAGCGACAGAAATGTTATATTCAGATGTTCGTTCATTGGTTCATTTTTGCCGGGGTTTCAAATTGTGACAACAGGGAACGTGCTTTTATGTTTGACTATGATACAAAAGAGAAAGAACACCAAAACACTAGGCAATCTGATTAATACTCGGGGGCTACGCCCCCTCGTACAAATCAGATAGCCTCGTGTTTCGGTGCTCTTTCTATTACATATTTGAGAAAGGGTAGCAGTTAGGTAAACATGAACGATACTTATGAAAGGCTATGATGAATTACTTTTGAAGGTTTTATATATTTGAACAAAAGGTAAAAGTGAAATGTAAAGAAAAAGGGTTAAGGTGTATACATGTGATTAATATTAGTAAAAGCTAGGGTTGATGCTTTTAATGTATATTTGAAAAAGGAAGAACATAGTAATATTTCTTTTTTAAAAATGTGATAAGGTGGTTTATACACGTATATGCTTAGAGGAAAATAATGAGGTAGGTAAATGAGGTGAGTTGGATAATCCATATTTGACATATTTGATAAAAGCATGATGCGGGTAATACATATCTAAATTACTTACGATCATACCATGTTTAAGAGCTCGTAGACCATACAATGCAGCCATGCCAAAGTGATTTGATCCTTAATATAGAAGAAAAATATATTACCAATCACATAATTGTAGAAACAGAAATTTCGTTTTAAAAAGTATGACGCTTTTAAAGGAGAGTTTAATTAACGGAGATATAGAATCGAGACAGGTTTTAGTTGGTATGTTATATATCAGTATAATAATTGATTGAACTCATTATAGTTGTTGAAAAATGTAATAACTCTTTTTTCTTTATATGTTTTATAAAGTCAGCGTGGAAATCTATTGCATAGTCTAAAACCGGACTTAGGACTATGTGAATATACGCATTAATTTTATCGTGGAAATAACCTTGTTAGTTACCTCTCACAGAAACAATCCCCACCCCTGCAGCCTTCGCCTTTTCCATTGCTAAATCCATACAGAAATTTCCAACGACTGGGCCTAAAAGATATACATTAAATATATTAAATCAAATCATCTGAAATCTTTGTCCTAAAGAGCATGTAGTTCATTGTGATTGCACTTATTTTTCGTTTAATCTACATTAAATACCATCAAAACGTGCTAAGTTGTCTGTGTAAGAAAATTATAATAATACAAACTTACAAGAATTTATCATCAGTATAATGGAATGGACTCAATTTTGTATATGTTAATAGCGTGTCTATATTTTACCAAGTAATTTATGTCCATCCACTAACGCTGTTGCTGCCGTCTGCTTGACTACTTCCGGTATCCCACTTCCGGATATAATTCCTTTCCTGACACAGATTAAGTATCGCTCTGAAAAATAAAGACAATTCTAAGACTATACACACAATTGGACATAAGTTATTTTTATCTAAATATATTCATCGAGATTATGTAACAGTGGGTTCTATTCTCTGATAACTGTCAGTCAGGATGCCTGAGCAGGATGACAGTTATTATGCTTAATTCATAAACATGATTGCAACATTCATTCAACTTGTACTCTGAGGTAATAAAGCATAAAATAATTGTATGAAAAAAATATCTGACCTAGATTTTTCAGGCCATGACTATAGTGACCTCGATAGTCCGCCGACACAACCATTTCAGCCAAACTGTCGGCATGATCTTCTGCTATTCCGACTGATTTACTACACCGCACGACAAAATCACGGAACTCTTCTACAGGTACTACATACCCAGTAACTGTCGTCATTGTTTCCTTTTTTGTGATAGAAAATGTTAAATACGATAAATTATAACACCATAAACTATATCATTAATGATCCACGTTGTCTGATAAGAATATACTATATAGCTAACACATGTACATAAATTTTGACACTTTGACGCTTTGACTATTTAAAGCTCTGAGATAAGAAAAGTACAAATTTGTTAATGAGTTTATGTTATTCATTCACAGTTTTATATGCCGCTTGAAATGAAATTAGTATACGGTTGCAACGATAGTAAAGTTTCGTAGTAAGCATTTAATTAAACTATTTTGAACAGACATCATTTTTGATCACTTCAGAAAATAGATAGTAATTTTAAATTAGTTATTTTATCGGATCAGTGATATAGTGTACTAATGATTGTCAAGCCTGCTTAATTTCTTACTATTATTCATTCATCAAGCAGGCATAATTTACAAGTATCTTAGTAATTAAAACTCATATTAATCTCTTTCTTTACCGTTATTTGTGAACGAATTTGACAATGCAGTTTAAAAAAGGTGTTTACTTTGCGTAAATGACAAGGTACAGAAAGCCTTATAGTGGGGACTTAGACAAGACTCTAGTCACTTCAGATAAAATCTATGCGATACAAGGGAATCCGGGAACAAGTCCTTAGCTCTTATTGAAAAGACCCCTTGGTTCTTTTTACATGCCCAGCATATAGCACTGGTACATGCGAGGATTACCTGGATTTCTTACCAGTACACATCAAGTCAGGTGGGAAACACTGAACATGTCTCTGAAAAATCTCAAGGGTGTTACCAGGAACGAACCCGGACCTCATGAGTGACAGACAGTGGTCTAACCAACTGAGCTATCGCGCCACCTAGCTATCGCGCTGGCACTGGCGTTTTCGTCTCCAGTTCCAAGAGAGTACCTCAATAGGTGATACCACGGAGAATGAGTGGCAAGGTTTCACCAAGTACAAAAAGTGTGATGACGTCCTCCTAACAGCGCCACAACATACACCTCAAGCAAACAGCCCAGGACTCGCGTGCTCGCAAAAAAAATGGGATTTGAACCCGCACCTGTAAAGTTGATAGACCAGCGCACTACCACTACACTACAACATCTCGCTGAAAGAAGTATGGCGAATTAGTATTACAGTAACTGTCCATACACACATGACTTACCTCTTCTGAAGTGCACTGATCCATGTTATGTTTACAACGGTTCCGAAATAATAAACAAAGTTGTTGTTCATGCTTTCAAAATTATGAAAAACTATGAAAAAGCCTCGGAAATGATTTAATTTTTACTTGTAATAGATATGTAGGTGTTCATATTACCCATTTTTCGCTTCTCTAACTTTTACAATAATTTTTGGCATTTTGAAACAGTACAGTGATCTAGCATTTTGCTTCTTTTACTCATCAAGTTAATTCTACAGAAACTAACATGCTCTATACAACATTTGTAATTTCTAAAAAAGGGAAACAAATCTCATTTCAAAAGCATTATAAATGTGCTTAATGCATAAAAAACTGATGATTTTGTCCAATAATTCCAGTACACGTGATTACCTTACTACACTGAAACGAATATTTGAGACAAGTTTGAAGGCACACTTATACCGTATTTGAAATTAAAGGCACAATAATACCGTGTCGGAAATTAAAGGCACACCTGTACCTAGCCTAATTAATTCGGCGTGAAAGGTTTGACAGACTTTTTTTCTTACTGTCAAAAAGACAGCGCCCGTCCAAAATTATCTCGGTGTCTCTGACAAGTCTTATTAGTTAGACTAACCCATACCGTGTCGGTAATTAAAGTGAATTATAGTGAGTCAGTAATTATTATAGCCTGTCTCATTAAAATGGAATGCCTGGTATGAGTTAAATCTTAGGATACAAGCTTATTTTCAGTTTAGATCATGTAATGACGAAGATGGTTATTCATCTAAACATGGAAGATATCATGATTATGGCTTGTCCCAATTTTTTATCCATCCAGATGATATATAAGTTTACTATTTTTCTTTCCCGCAGTGCAGACGATGGCCGATGCGTGTCAAGTCGGACTAGAGAATAATGGTCTTCAAGAATAACCATTCGGTCTGAATCTATCTATTATAGGCGTCCTAATTAAACTAACGGAGCGGCCGTTGCAGTAAGCATTTGAAAGATCGGGCATGAATTTGTTAGCCGGGACTTTATGTTATAATTAGGTGAAGTTCGACTTAAATGACCGGATCCTTTTTTTGCGTAATAAAAACCTAGATGTATATGTATTTTTCATACCCCGTTGTTTACATGATTTTGTCATACTTCATTGTCGGTATGATTTTGTCGTGCTTTATTATATTTATGATTTTGTCGTATCTCATTGTAAACATGATTTTTATACTTCATTATCTACATGATTTTTACGTACCTGAGTGTGCACATTATTTGTCGTACCTGACTGTCTTCATTTTTTTGTCGTTTCTCATTGTCTACATGATTTTGTCGTACCAGATTGTCTACATGATTTTGTCGTGCCTCATTGGCTACATGATTTTGTCGTGCCTCATTGGCTATATGATTTTGTCGTGCCTCATTGGTTACATGATTTTTGTCGAACTTCATTGTCATCATGATTTTGTCGTGCCTCATTGTCTTCGTGATTTTGTCGTACCTCATTGTAAACAAGATTTTGTGGTATCTCATTGTAAACATGATTTTTATACTTCATTATCTACATGATTTTTACGTACCTGAGTGTGCACATTATTTGTCGTACCTGACTGTCTTCATTTTTTTGTCGTTTCTCATTGTCTACATGATTTTGTCGTACCAGATTGTCTACATGATTTTGTCGTGCCTCATTGGCTACATGATTTTGTCGTGCCTCATTGGCTATATGATTTTGTCGTGCCTCATTGGTTACATGATTTTTGTCGAACTTCATTGTCATCATGATTTTGTCGTGCCTCATTGTCTTCGTGATTTTGTCGTACCTCATTGTAAACAAGATTTTGTGGTATCTCATTGTCTACATGATTTTGTCGTACCTCACTGGAAACCTAACTTTGTCGTACCTCATTGTCTACATAATTCTGTCGTACCCAATTGTATACATGATTTTCTCGTACCTCATTGTCTACATGATTCTGTCGTACCCCATTGTAAACATGATTTTGTCGTACCTCATTGTCTACATGATTCTGTCGTACCCCATTGTAAACATGATTTTGTCTACATGGTTTCACAGTTGAGTCTTGCTTCGGGAAGATTGCATACTATTGTTGAAAGAATGCTACTGGTCTGTAGATGGCCACTCTGCTAAGGTTATACTGTATTGAAGCTGCCTGCGACCGTAGGACTTTTAAACCCGGGATCAAAATACAATATGACGGTTTAATAAAAATATTCACACAATATTTAGTATGTTTATACGAAAGCCTAAATTAAAAAAAAAATGTGTAATAACGCGAATAAAGGCGTTATCATGCGAATCAAAAGGCATAATTACGCGAATCAAAAGGCGTAATAACGGGAAAAAAGGTGAAGTAACGCGAATTTAGGCGTTAAAACGCGTATTGAAGGTCATGATTTCGCGAATCAAAAGGCGTAATAACGCAGGTAAAGGGGTAATAACGCAAATGAAAAGGCGTAATCCGGTTCCGGTTCGAAAAAAATGTTTTGAAATTCTCGGAAAGAAATACCAGTTTGTTCTGTTACATGGATTGTTAATTGCTGGTACAATTTGTGAAAGTGACAATAAATATATAACGGATTTATTTATTAGTATCAGGACTCTTCTGTAAGTGTTTGATTTTCCAAAAAAGACTCTGAAATTGCGAATCTAACGGAAGACAACAAACGTCTGAAAGATCGCGTCACATCTGACGAATTCTACGTTGATAAGGTAACAAATGAGCTTGAGCAGTATGGGCGTCGCAATAATATCCGCATTTCTGGTCTTAATGGGGACACTAACCGTCAGTCATCAGAAATAACCACGGAACTTGTTATAAACACAATTAAAGAGTAAACTGGTCTCGAACTCAGAACTCATGATATTGACGTCGCACATCGCGTCGTCTTAATTCCAGAGTGTCGTTACTCCAATTTTGGGAAAAATGAGTGTTTGGTATAAAAATGTTCGTAACAACATCACTCTGGTTCTTGCCTGTAACGATATATTGAATGGGTCAGAGTGCTGTAAGTCCAAAAATTGTGATAAAAATAACGTCCATAATATCGTAACTTCTGAACCAATAGTTTGTTAAGATTCTAGTCACGTGATGCTGTTTTGACAAAATGGCGGATTTTTCAAGATATCAGAAATGACATTTTACGTTTAATATTTCTTGATAACATGTAAGTGTTTTGCTATTAACGTTATCTAATTATCTATAGATTGATATTTTATTGAACTGTTTCAAACCTTAAAAAGAAATAATAACTACTCTTAACCCTTGAGCTAAATTCAAAGCACCATGCTGTGTTATGAAATGTGGATAGCATGGGAATCGGATAAATTGATAGAACCTTTAAATATTCATAAGTATCAGCTGTTTATAACTTGATATGTGATTGATTATATGATTGATTGATCAATGTTACCTTGTACATATTCAGATTAAATACGTACAATCAGGTATTGCATAAGATTGTGGAGATATTGTATTTATACTTTTAACTTACAAACAAACCTCATCAAATGGGAAACATACTACTGCCATTGTTACATTTTGTACAATGTTTTTCTTTAACTATATAAGACAAATTACCGTACTGGTGCTAAGTGATACGAATACAATTTACACATAACTTTACTACTGATAACTTATGTTAAATTAGGTGGTGTTTACTTCATGTTTATTTCATAATTCATATTTCATAATTTTCATAATTTCATAATTCTGCATTTCATATAACGATCACAAAAATATCAAAAGTTTTGCTGTCCAAGACGTTATGCAATCCAGAGAGGTTAAAAATACCCACTGTCATATTGAAAGAAAGACAAAACCCTTTTAAAATGGCAGAAGTGATCAGTTCTTTATCACTCGTTTGCGTTCTTAAAACAGTACGTTCAAACGTCAAAGACTA